GGTGTTTCTTGTGTAAAACTTACTCTAGTTAGGTTTCCACTGCTTTTAGCTGTACTTGAAAATATATATGCTCTGGTCACTTCGATCGGCTTTCGCTGTCCCACCAACGCCCCAGCCCATTTAAACTGCTGACTTGGAAATGTTTAATAATAAATTTTATTTTTATTCCAGATTCTCGGTTTTTCTTTTGCACATGCAGCCGACGATATTTATGCGGGGGATCGCTGAGAAGGCACCAGAAGTACGAATGTGGCAAAGAGCCCGTTTTCCAGTGTCAGTTTTGCCCGTACAAGTCCAAGCATAAATTCGACATGAGAAAGCACGTGAAGAACTGTCACAATGTAACTTTTTGAGTGAGGAATAAAAATGTTTCAAAGAACTTTCTTGAATGTTTTCCTACGCCTTTGCTTTAACACCTTCACATCCTTTCCAGATTTTCCTCTTTTCGGCCCGTTACTAAACTAGACTGTTTTAGGACAAGCACTTACAAGCGTCAAAGAGGAAGTTGATGCGGCCAAGAGCGATTTGGCGGCAGTGGTTAAGGTGGAGAACGTTTTGCTAAACGAGACAGTGGACAACAGTGCAGAGGCAAAGAGTGGACTCAATAAAAAGGGTATGTCTTAGAATGCCCTAGAAGTTCGTCGGCGTGCTAATATGCAGTTATTTTTTCAAAGAAATTGGGTTCGTTTACTGCAGCTGCCAGCAGGGGTTCAAGAGCGAAGCATCACTGATGAGGCACCAGGAGCTCGAGTGTGGCAAAGAACAGACTTTCCAGTGCCAATTTTGCAAAACAGACTTTCAACAACGCGCTGAAATGAGTAAACATATTAAGAAATGGCACAATCGCTTTTTCATTCGCAACAAGGAGTAAACAAATAAATTTATACTGATGTTTATTGGCAATTTTCAACTCCTATAGATTATGTGGCCTGTGACAAATACTTTCGATTTGAGGTAACTCCCACAAAAAGAATCTATTGGAGTATGGAGTTGAGACTCACAGCAATGGAACAACCCTTTAAAATAAACCTACTGAAAGTTATGCTTGATTTCTTCCCACAGTAGAAGTTCCCATAGCCCAAATCGAATGTTGGTGATACTAATCGAGTCATGTTTTAGCTCAAAGAGTACAGTCGGCCAACCAAGGCCCTAAAAGGCGAAACGCGCACCGCATAAAAGGCTCATTCAGCTGCGACAAGTGCGAAAGAAAATACATTCGCAAGGACTCATTGCAGCGCCATCAGACCTACGAATGTGGAAAAGAGCCGCAATTTTCGTGCCCTTTTTGCGGTCAGAGATTCAAACGACGATCGCACCAGCTTCGGCACATCAGTCGCTCTCATCCCGATAAAATTGCGATTCTAAAGGAGAATAATCCTACATTGAAAATTGAAACCCTCCGATTCTAGTATGCATTAACGAAAGGTAACGAGTATTCCGTTTTTTTAGCCGCTTTTGTACCGAGTGATCAATATATCTGCCTGCCAAAGTAACATTTTTTTTTTATTTGCCAGGGTGAGTCGCTCTGTTTTGGCGCATTTTTTTTTGCGTGTTGCATGTGCGATTTAGTCATTGTTGTAAAATTCCTCGAAACCCTTTTCCTCATAATGGTCAATACAGTCCCTTCGCCTTCTGTTTGTAAAACCATCCACTTTGCGACAGTTTATTGAATACTGGCTTCACCTGCGGGTTTTGCCATTAACATCCAGGAGTCTTCTGGTTTCACCCCATCATTCTATGATGGATTTTTCGTCCTTTGTCGGTCGTCGGTCGTCCCTCAATTGACCGTGTGAAAGGTGGGACTCACCCTCACTCCTTTCCCAACTCCAGTTCTTCCTGCCATTAGCAAAGCCCACTAGTGGGAACATTTGATGCATTTTCCTGCATTACTGCCACCTCTATCTGTATCGCTTGCTACCGTAATCCATAATGCGCAGTATGGACTGGTTGTTTGCCACAATGCTTATTCTAATGTAAATTGGGGAGCGCAGGTAGAAGGTATGCTATTCAGACTAGATGAAGTGCTACTAGTGACTACGATTGCAAGTTCACTGGGACTGTTTACTGATCTCGACTCATTTGTAGCTCAAGACCTCCGTTTGCCGAAGCCGTTGCCTCAATGGCCGCCCAATTTGGTGTTGCCCATGATGCTCCTGAGGGAGAATCTGCAACAGAGCGTTTTTCAGAGCATCGGCGGCACGACCGCAACCACAACCGGAACTCCTTACTTTGACTTGGGAAAGTTGCCCAAGCCCAAAGGTACTGATCTTGCCGGCCACCACGTTGGCCTTAACTAAAAAACTTACGGTTTTAGGAATGAAAATTCCGGTGGATAACAATGGGAGCCATGTGTGTCCGGACTGTGGGCGCATTTATAAGTTGCGTAGTTCTCTTAGGAATCATCAAAAGTGGGAGTGCGGCAAAGAACCGCAATTCAAGTGCCCCTTTTGCACTTACAAGGCGAAGCAGAAAATGCACATGCTCAGACATACTGAGCGCATGCACAAAGGTGTCGACTTATCGGGCATCAAAAAGGAAATGAGTGTTGATGATGACGGGCAGACGTACGAAACGGCGTCCCCGGAGGGCGTCAAGGATTTGTCGTTTAAACGACCCAAGTCCGAGTCGGACTTGGAGGGTCAGGAAAATACTCCAAAATAATTTTTGTTTCTTTTTTAGAACAATTCGACAACTAATTATTAATTTTAAACTGCTTATTTGGTGATTTTTTATTGTTTAGCTTAGGTCTTATGCGGGCTTGAAATTGGTGGCCTGTTTTGCTCATAAAATTATTACGCTATTTTTGGTGATACGTTGGACACCTGTCCAAGCGTTGCGTAATTGCCAAATTACTCAACGCTAACGCTGCTTGATTTATTTAAATTATATTTAATCTTTATCCAGGGCGTACAAGTTCGAGGTCGGTTAAATTAGGGCAAAGTTGCGCATTTTCTAGCTTAACAAAATGGTGTTTAAAATTTTTTGAAGGTTTCTAGGAATATTTCAAGCGATTTTTATTGGCAAGAAAACCTTTCGACCTGTCTGTTATTCTCCTACCATGGCTTGGCTCCATGCAACAATCACAGCATATTCTAATTAATTCTAAAAACTTATGCAAAATGCGAGACATCTCGAGAAACTATATTTTTTCGACACTGTTTCGAAAATTTTGTTCAAAATTCCAAATTCCAAATTTTTGAAGTGTTAATCGTAACTATTCAAAAACGACTATAAAGTGAAGTTTGCCCCGTTCATTCCCGCAAATATTCCAGTCTCAGCCAGTTCAGGCGTAACAAATTTTTGAAAAAGCGGCGGGTAAATTTAGAAGCAACTGCGCCAATCTCACTGACTAATTCTTAAAAATTAACCCAAATTTCTTGCATGAAAATCATGATACTTTATGATTTCGCCCCATGAAAAACGCCGTTAAATCTCAGTAAACTGTTGAAGAACGGCAGGTAAATTTAGTCGCAAAAGTCATCGCAAGTCTCACTTTGAACATTTCTTAAATTCACTCATCAAAACATTCACTCCAAACCTCCAAGAAGATAAACATAAAGTAAATTGTGCTCTTTTTATTGCCGCAAAACGCGATCGTCAATGCCAAATTTTATGTTCAACCTTTTAAAGCACCATCCTCTCAAGCATAAAAATACGCAACTTTTCGCTGATTTATGTGCCTCCACATCTCGTACTTTTTACGAGATCCCAATCGATTTTGTAACACCTTGCGACGACCAGTTCCGTAGGATAAGTACCCGTTTTGTGAAACACCCGGTGAAAGACAGTGAATAGTTCCTTTTTAGCCATAGACAATCATAATACTCTCCATTTACCAAGTAAACCCGTTCATGGCTGTTACTTTGTAAAATCTCAATTTCTTACTGAGCTGCCAGAGCATTTAACTGCTCAACGCGCAGCTCCAACCACTCAAACCAGCATCACATTCATAGTTCCTTGATTGAGGAAACCTACAGTTTTACTCACTCCTCCATGCCCAAAACCCGCCCGAATACGGTTCTTTATTGGTCAAACGGCAAAACTTTTTTTTAACATATCCAGTGTTAAAGTGCCTTAGAAATATGGAAAAATCATATAAAGTGATACATAAATAAGTGAGTTGGACGCAAAGGTCAGCAGAAATCAAGTTCTGATGAGAAAACCAATACATTTTTCGCAGTTGTTAAGTTGTCCGGATTTGACGTTTCGCTAGAGACATGGCTACCAACGGCATAACTCTGAAGATGGTGCGATGCATTCTAGCAAAACGTGGAGACCAAATTCAAATTCTTCAGTCTATTTCCACGTGGAAATTAATGGAAAGCTGCCTCTACCTTGCGCCAACCTGTTAATTAGTTAAGCAATTAAAAAAGCGGAATAAAAACGTGAACAAAAACAGAAAAATCCAGATACTTTAGGTGTAGGGACGTTATTTAGTAGTATTTGAAGCATCGCTAATCTACATCATCAGTTTTGCAACAGCATTTACAATGTTAAAGCCCCGACGAAGCATTGATTGGGCGAGCATCAACATTCCTATAAAATACTCTTTTAGATTGTTAGTTTAGGCTTAAAGTTTACCATATTTTTATAATCATATTTACATTTACCAAGGCTAAAAATAATATTTTGCTATAAATAGTTCCTACAAAGTGATCAAGAGCTATATTTTCCTACTATTTAAGTGAGCCCTATATACAGCGCTATTGATAAGGATTGTATATTTTTCTATCAATTTTTTACAAACATATTTTAATTTAAATTAATTAATTAATTTTTGCTGTTAAGGCGTCAGGCTCAGCGGTTACCGAGTGCTCGTTTACAACCACTGCCAGACACTGTTCAATCTAAACACACAATCGACAATTATCAATAGTTTTTCCTCGTATACTTTACAATAATAATTATTCAATTACCTACCTCAATGCAGAAGAATAAGCCGAGGCAATCGAGCATCCGAATCACCCAAAACTCATGCTCAATTGCTCATAGAAAATATGTTTGTCTTTTAAATCGCATTTAATATTGTTATAAATATACATCTCATTAAGTATGCTTTTAATTGTATTTTCAAATATATCTTACTAATCTTTATTGGGTCCGTTTTCTTACATACTACTGACCCGTTCAGGAGTTTCTCACTTCAATCCTCCAGTTGCCAATTAACTATTTTTCCCAATTTCAGCCCCATACTCATGCAAAAACTGCAATAAAACCTACAAAAGGAGGGATTCGCTCAATCGGCACGTACGAGTGGAATGCGAAAAGGCAGCCGGACATCAATGTACGAGGTGTGGAAAATATTTCAAATACTATTACGTGCTTCAAAGACATATTGGGACCAAACATCGCAGCTGACTTTAATAATAAAAAAATTTGAATCAATTTTGCGTAGTCCTCATTTCCGCAGTGTCCTCAAATGTACATACTGTTTCCTCATCCGCCTCCTCAAGCACTCGCTTACCGTTTGGTGTGGTTTCAGTTGGCGCCGTCCGCTGCCCGAAGTGCCAGAAACTGTACAAAAACGCCAGGACAATGTTGGCCCATTTGCACCAGGACTGCGGCAAGGAGAAGGCGCACAATTGCAACTTTTGCACGTCGCGCTTCAAGCGGAGGCACAACCTCAAGACGCACATCATCAGGAGGCACATGGAGAGGCTCTGCGAGGTGGACTGGCTGACGGGCTATTCAACCAAAAAACCCAAACTTTTCGACTACAAAAAATGGATTTAGCCATAGAAGCGTTAGCCGCAAGACCATTCTTCTTGTCCGAGTTCTTCCATTTTACAGCCTCTTCTAGAATCCTACGACGATTGACAATGATGGGATTAAAATGATTGAGAAATTCAAAATTTTCTAGTTGATTGCTATGCTCGTTTATGTTGTGTCTGTGACAGCGATTTGTTCACGTTGTCGTAGCAATTGAATGTTGATTTTTCGCTTATTTGAGCGTTTTCGTTGATCATTTACACCCCATTAATTCCATGGCGTAGACTAAGCTTAGATGATTAAAAGTCAATGAATCAACTTGCCAATAAATTAATATTGTTTTGAAGTAGAACTAGTTTTGCCTCAAGATCAGTCTCAAAGATCACATCAATGGTTTGTAGGTGTTTTAGTGTGCGGGCAGGGTTGCATCCTTTTCGTCGAGCAGCCAGTCGCAACGTGTCTCACACCGTTTATGTTTTGTAGGCAAGTTCATCTGCCCTACCTGCTACAAAGAATACAAGGAGAAGCGGTACCTGGTTAGGCACGTGCGGTACGAATGCGGCAATAAGGGCAAGTTCTACTGTCCGATGTGCCAAAACAACTTCAAGCGGCGCTACCGGTTTTTGGGCCACAGGTGCAAAGTGCCAGATGAAAAATGAGTTTTTTTATTGATTTTGACCCGATTGAATTAAACATTTTCCTTTACTTCATTGAGTCGTCATAACCATATGACGCAACCTTTGTCCTGGCTTGGTTCCCTCCTGCTCATCCAAAAAAATTTCAATCGTCTGTTTTTAACAAGTGAATTTACTTGTAGGTATCAACCAATGTGGGGATTGTGGCAAATTCTACAAACATAAAGCGCACCTGAGTCGGCATCAGAAGTTTGAGTGCGGTAAACCGCCCAGCTTTTTCTGTCCTTTTTGCTCCTATCAGGCGCACCGGCAGGACAATTACAGGCTCCATATAATACGGTCACATTCGCTGAAACACTATAACAAAGCCACTAAATCAGGGGATCTGTCTTACTGCCAAAGCTAAAATAAATGACAAAATTGATTCCGTCCCGCATTTGTCTCAGTTCGATGAACCTCCCTATTAACGTTTGTAGATAGTTGAATGATTAAACGATGACTAAACCTGTTGAAGCTTGCTTTATTTGTGTGGCCGCCTGTTGGGGGAGTTGTTACTAATGCGAACTAAATTTTAGATTTGTCGATTTTCTGCTCGATATGTGGGGCGGTGTTCAAGCATGTGGCCTCCTTGAAGTACCACGTGGCGAACCAGGTGTGCACCAAGCCCAGGAAAGGTAAGTCTGCCCGATCGAATTCCACTCAAACTCCATTTGACCATCCGTAGATGAAGAGGCGAGGAAATTGCAATGCCCCGTATGCGATAAGGCCTTCAAAGGTATCACTGCTATGCAGTACCACATTAGGAGGCGAGTGTGCGAACAGGTCAAGGTGAATGTAGGTAAGTGGGGCGAGAGCACTTTTGTCTCGTCTAATGCGTGTTTAGTTCAATGGTTGATGGTTGCAGGGCCGCCTTTTGCCTGCAAATTGTGCGGCACTCTGTTCAACTTGAAGCAGAGTTGGTATGTGCATATGCGTAGGGAAGCTTGCAAGAAGTTCCCAGACAAGTACGGACTAAACACCAACAAGTTCAGTCCCAAAGTGATTCTACAGGAAGATCATTCGGACACTTTTTTGCAGTTTGACGGTTCCAATGACGATAAAACCGTTTGAAGTATTAGTCTATTTTAGCTTTTAGTGCCTTCTAAGCACAATAAATGTTGTCCCTAAACCGTATACTTGTTAAAATGCCGTGCCTTTTATTGGACGATGTAGTAGTTAATATATACTTTACGCACTGAGACGCTTGGTTTTCACCTCCCCATGTAACCTCGCTCATATTAGTGTTTCCTCCATATTAATGTTGATATTTCCAGGTGCCGACATGCAGGATTATCTCCTGAGATTCGAATGCAGCAAGTGCGGCAAGCGTTACAAACACTCGCCGTCCCTTTACAACCACAAGAGGTTCGAATGCGGCGTGGAACCGCAATTCAAGTGCGGCATATGCGACTATGTTGCTAAACGGAAACATGCCCTCAAAATGCACTCTCTGAAGCACACTCAGAGTAACTTCGGTCAGATGCGCGTCTAATGTTCCTCAAAACCATCATCATGGATTGAGGAGTAAATAATTTTCCCTTTTAGCTCTTGTGTTATACAGTGGTCAGTTGCCTTCATCTTCTTTTAGTTCTTCTTTTAGTGTTCATTGATGTCTTAGTCAATTGGAGTTTTTCTGAGCATAAGCTCAGAATCAAGCTTTAACACATTGCGGCTAAAATATCGGTATATAATTCAACATGTACAGGATGGCCCACTCAATTCCAGTTGTTTCAAGTGGTTTTTCTTAATTATTTGGACCTGCGTTTAGTCGAAAATTCAATGAAATAACCGAGTTTTATTAATTTAAACTAACTTAATTTGCGCATTTTTTATGTAGTATCATTTCACAAATGTCTCTAGTTTTCGCGCAAAAGCGTTACCACCGTAATAAAGAAGGCCCACTGGCTGAATTGTGACGTCGCTCAAAGTAGTCCGACCAGGCATAACGCGTAGCGGAGTATATGATGGATCAACTGTACGAATATGAATATTTTAGACAAAAATAATGTCTTCAGGAATTGATATGCTTTTTACATTGTTTGATTTAAATGATTAGCCTTTCTATTCCTAAAACATGAACGTAGTTAACTAGCCACAAATATTTTAATTTCAGTTATAGCTTAATATTTCATGTTTCCGAAGCATTCTAATTGTTTTAAATAGTGAAGAATACAATTGCTAATAATCTATCAACTTTATTTAGTGAGAGTATCTAACTTTCTTTTATTCCCCTTTCCAATGGTGTCATTTCTTTTGCCACAATAATTATTTAAAAGAGTATTGGT